ATGTCCGAAACTTGTCAATTTAAAACAGCCACAGTTTACCGCATGTTCCTCACTTATCTCAACAAGGGTTGAAGTTTATAAAAAAAAATAGAATGTACTTTCAGATAATTAAATTTTCTTTGGAATTCTAGCTAACTACTGTAGATGTGAAATGTACTATGTATGTAAATGTCTGTAAAAGGTTTTCAATATACTGCACCATACTTGTATATCGCCCCAGCAGCCCAATTGCATCTGTATTTTTACAGAGAAGGTGAATAAGGTTATCTAATAAAGTTTTCACTGACCCGTGTACAGTAAGTGTCAAGGCTTGAAAGGGAGTTGCTGAAAAAACTTTACTATGGAACCAGCATATCACAGACACTTGACTCATTCCATCACTTTTCGCCATTGAATGAATGAAACGTTATAGAAAAAAAGAGTCTTGTTAGTGGGAAGAATGAGAAGGAGTGTTGCACTAACATTTATGAGAGAAATGGTTTATTTTCATTGACTGTAAATTAATATCTTAAAATGTAATGTAGGTTTAGGGCCTTCTGTAAAAGTCTATTTAAAATTCTTTGAAAAATGGCATATCCTGGCAGATTGTTGTTTGACAGAGGAATCTTGCATTCATAGAAATCCGGCAAGGTGATGTTTGTGATTCCATTTTTGTTATTCTCATAAATGTAATGTCACTCGTTTTGAAATTTTGTTTGGTTATAATTATGGTACAATTCTTTTCTTTTGTTAGTCTCTACAATCAACACATAACTGTTGATTAAATTCATTGGATTAAAAGCACTATAACGTCACCTGTGGAAAACAAGACGGGTATATATTATGTGAACAGAATTTTCCTTATCTCTGGCTATAACTATTGCCATTATACTGTATGACAATTTTTCACTTAATTGTCCAGAAGAACAAGTTTGATTAAACTACATTGCTAATGTACCTTATAATGAAACAGTTTACCCATCTCTGAGCCAACTCTGGAGGACAATGTTTTTTTTTTTAATTAAAATGTTATGAAACCTGTTTCTCAGAAAAAAAAACTGTTCTATACAGAACATAAAACAATAACCTTTACAAAGCTCCTTTCCAAACCCATCCTGAATAATAAAAAAAAGACAATAAAAGTAAACGAAAAATAACCAACAGCATATAGGTTTTTACAAAATGACCATAGGCAATCAGAAGTAGACCTTGGTAAAAGGGTAAGTTTAAAGTTTAGATTTGAGGAGAGTTACGGAACATACTGTATACAGTACTGTAAAGAAGCTTGCTAAAAGTCTTCCTTCCTTTTTTGGCAAACATGTAACCACCAATCTTAGGTGACTTTCAAGACTTTCAAAAAGTTTCAATCTGTGATTCAATGTCCCATTTAAATTAATTGTTTAATAAATTACTTATTCTTGACTTCATATGCCAGGTGGTTAAACACCCTTAAAAATGAACTTCTGCTTTTCTGACAGTCATGCATCTCATCCGACACCTACAGAGTCTTTATAGAGAAATGTGCTGCCCCATATCGTAAGTGACACAGTGAACAAACCTACGTGGGTGGTCTCCTGTTCTTACTTGCTGTAACATGCTGATCTTCGGTCCAGCATCAAAGAGAATAGGGGAAGGTGCTAAGCCAGGGTTTCCGAAATCTGATTCTCAGGAACTTATGCACTGTTTGTATTAGTGGCTGATGCAGAGTGTTGTACTGTATACCGTCCCTTGCAATCCCTTTCAATACAAATTTATAGTATGGGTAGAAAATAGTTCAAAGTTTTAACATTTAGATTTCTGAGTTTAACTCCAACTGTGAAACTGTGCAGAACAGGGCGTCCTCAAAAACTAAGTATCTGGAAGAGAAGGGCACAAGTAAGGCAGACTAATGAGGGGCCTACGGCAACTCTATATTGCCTGACATTATATAGTGTTTTGTTTCAATCAATGGCCAAAAATCCCAATTAAACACATCATAACTTCATATTTTAACAATAAAATGCAGAAGTCCAAGGCGGAGGAGAACACTTTTGATAGACTGTATTTTTGGATTTAGTGGCTGACCGAGTTTAGAGTTGACATATTTGAGCATTTCATTGGTTTAACTTTTGTAATGCCACCAGGGGCAGGGTCCTCAAAGGGCCGTACTTTCCCCATAAAGTAGAGCCGGGCTTAGGCCTCTTTGCCTTTGCCAAGCTTTCTGCCACAAAATGGTGGCTTGACTTCCTGAAATTTTGGTCCTCATTTTATACAGCTGAGTAACTGTTGAGCAAATGGTTTGCATTGGTCAAGTGTCTGCAAAAGGGACATGAACCTAACAACCTGCTAGTCATACAGTAAATCCAAAATGCTACATTACCTCCCAAAGCATTGTAAAGATGGAACACATGTTTGCATGTAAATGGAAACAATTTAGCTTCCTAATTCCATTGTCATCTAAACCTCAAAAAGGCATGGCACATAATTAGAATGCAGGGGGATTTGTCATTTGTTAACTTGAAATTTGGCTGGATTTACTCTGCATTTTCCATGACTGAATAAAAAATAATTTTTTGAACACAGCCTTTAATTTATTCCCAACTGAAAGAGGGATGCCAAAAAAGAAGACTTCTGTTTTTTTTAGAAAAAAAAAATCACTACACAATACAACAAAAAAAGTTATTCAGGGTCCACACCCAAGACTTACAGCTCAATCTTTTGTTTCTGTACTTCACCATAATACATTAGTGTGAAATACGACAGGGAAACATTGAAAATAATACTACTCATAATAATACAGTTTCTGCACTCCGTTTCTGACCTTGACTCAGGTGGTGCCAGACTGAAGGTAATGAAGCTCAGCGTGAATTTTTAGAAAACATCTCAAAGAAAGGTACAGTGTACTGTATCTAATTTTTAATCTTCCTCACCCTTAGAAACCCCTGCTCACTTTCCTATAAATGGCTATTTTTCTCAAGCCCCACACCACGCAGCCCTGCACCATTTGCACAGCTGGGTCTGTGGCTCCTGTGACAGCCAACAGGCCTTGAAGACCTCCTCGCCCTCTGGAGGAAGTGGTTTGGTGGAATGGAGGCCCTGAACAATCGAGCACTCACAGCTGTCCCTGCGGTGCTGTTTGCACATGTGTCTAGCCAGACCTTTGCAGTAAATTCAGTACTTCTCCTCCTTTACAGTTTTACCGTCAGGATTTTTAACATCGCCCGAGAAGTAATCAAGGTGTCAATGTATGCTTTTAATATAGTCCCACCTTTTCAGACTCCTTCGTTAAATACCACGTTTATGGCTTTTCTAACGTGAGGGAAATGAATCCGAAGGAAGCAAACTCAGTGTGTGTCCACTCCTGGTAAATACTCACTACTGTAATTAAGCAAGAACTGTGGCATAATTCTGAGTCAAACTCAGAATATAAGAGGAAAACTGTACAGAAAATGCAACTACATCTTTACACAATAGTTCACAGAGTTATCACTTCTAAGAGTTCAAAGGATAACTGGGCATGTTATAAAAATGTTTACATTATGTCCTGCTACCTCTGAATACAGCAAACTGTATACTATATACAGTATACAGTGATGCAATTAATCGTTTTCTCTTTTAGTGATCTTATTTTACCACTAAAGTGCGCCTATTTGTACCTCTTAAAGCATACTGTATTTCAAAAGTATTTTATTTGAAGATGTGATCTCAAAAGGAGAATTCATTCCATTTTGGTTGTTTTGTTTCAGAAGTTTGGAAAATAAGGAGATAATAGTAAGGTAACAACGGTAAAACCTAAAATCAGAAAGACTACTTCATTTTAGTTTTTAATTCTTCATTACCCGAGTTTAAGTATGGTTCAGATACAGAGTGTTAAGTTCTTCAATCTGAAGTCATAGCGTATCTAAAGTGGGAAAAAACAATTCTTAGTAGAAAGAGTTACAATTTTTTTGCAGATCGTGTTTCCAACCATGAAGAAAAAAAATGGTCGATAGTAGCATTTCTGCAAATAGTTTCCAGAATAGGTCATATTTTAAAAAGCATTAGTACTTACTGTATGTTAGAAGAAAAATTAGAATTAATTTTCAAATTTTTAAACTGAAAATAAATGATACTGTATATTGTGCCTCTGATAACTTTCTTTTTCAAGAAAAAAAAATCCTCAATAGCTTT